TCCTACGGGCGGGAGGGAACCCGAAGGAGGCTACGCCGAAGGGCGGAGTCTCCTTCGGGGAGGGTAAAACGGCCCAGAACCCGTTTATACGGGTTCAAATGGGCTATTTTTGGCCGAGCCTAATGGCTCCAGGAATGCCCACGTTAAAAAGGCCTTGTGCCACATGACACCCTCGTGGGGGGTGACTGAATATTGTCAGTCGTTCACCTCTGAACTGACTGTTCGGTTCAACTCTCTTCCTACGGGCGGGAGGAACCCGAAGGAGGCTACGCCGAAGGGCGGAGTCTCCTTCGGGGAGGTAAAACCGGCCCAGAACCCGTTTATACGGGTTCAAATGGGCTATTTTTTTGGCCGAGCCTAATGGCTCAGGGAATGCCCACGTTAAAAAGGCCTTGTGCCACATGACACCCTCGTGGGGGGTGACTGAATATTGTCAGTCGTTCACCTTCTGAACTGACTGCACGGTTCAACTCTCTTCCTACGGGCGGGGGAACCCGAAGGAGGCTACGCCGAAGGGCGGAGTCTCCTTCGGGGAAGTTAAACTCGGCCCTGAACCCGTTTATACGGGTTCAAATGGGCTATTTTTGGCCGAGCCTAATGGCTCCAGGAATGCCCACGTTAAAAAGGCCTTGTGCCACATGACACCCTCGTGGGGGGTGACTGAATATTGTCAGTCGTTCACCTCTGAACTGACTGTTCGGTTCAACTCTCTTCCTACGGGCGAGGAGGAACCCGAAGGAGGCTACGCCGAAGGGCGGAGTCTCCTTCGGGGAGGTTAAACCGGCCCAGAACCCGTTTATACGGGTTCAAATGGGCTATTTTTTTGGCCGAGCCTAATGGCTTAGGAATGCCCACGTTAAAAAGGCCTTGTGCCACATGACACCCTCGTGGGGGGGTGACTGAATATTGTCAGTCGTTCACCTCTGAACTGACTGCACGGTTCAACTCTCTTCCTACGGGCGGGAGGAACCCGAAGGAGGCTACGCCGAAGGGCGGAGTCTCCTTCGGGGAGGTTAAACCGGCCCTGAACCCGTTTATACGGGTTCAAATGGGCTATTTTTGGCCGAGCCTAATGGCTCCAGGAATGCCCACGTTAAAAAGGCCTTGTGCCACATGACACCCTCGTGGGGGGGTGACTGAATATTGTCAGTCGTTCACCTCTGAACTGACTGTTCGGTTCAACTCTCTTCCTACGGGCGGGAGGAACCCGAAGGAGGCTACGCCGAAGGGCGGAGTCTCCTTCGGGGAGGTAAAACCGGCCCTGAACCCGTTTATACGGGTTCAAATGGGCTATTTTTGGCCGAGCCTAATGGCTCAGGAATGCCCACGTTAAAAAGGCCTTGTGCCACATGACACCCTCGTGGGGGGTGACTGAATATTGTCAGTCGTTCACCTTTGAACCGACTGTTCGGTTAAACTCTCTTCCTACGGGCGGGAGGAACCCGAAGGAGGCTACGCCGAAGGGCGGAGTCTCCTTCGGGGAGGTTAAACCGGCCCAGAACCCGTTCATACGGGTTCAAATGGGCTATTTTTTGGCCGAGCCTAATGGCTCCAGGAATGCCCACGTTAAAAAGGCCTTGTGCCACATGACACCCTCGTGGGGGGTGACTGAATATTGTCAGTCGTTCACCTCTGAACTGACTGTTCGGTTCAACTCTCTTCCTACGGGCGGGGAGGAACCCGAAGGAGGCTACGCCGAAGGGCGGAGTCTCCTTCGGGGAGGTTAAACCGGCCCAGAACCCGTTTATACGGGTTCAAATGGGCTATTTTTGGCCGAGCCTAATGGCTCAGGAATGCCCACGTTAAAAAGGCCTTGTGCCACATGACACCCTCGTGGGGGGGACTGACTGAATATTGTCAGTCGTTCACCTCTGAACTGACTGTTCGGTTCAACTCTCTTCCTACGGGCGGGAGGAACCCGAAGGAGGCTACGCCGAAGGGCGGAGTCTCCTTCGGGGAGGGTAAACCGGCCCTGAACCCGTTTATACGGGTTCAAATGGGCTATTTTTTGCCGAGCCTAATGGCTCCAGGAATGCCCACGTTAAAAAGGCCTTGTGCCACATGACACCCTCGTGGGGGGTGACTGAATATTGTCAGTCGTTCACCTCTGAACTGACTGTTCGGTTCAACTCTCTTCCTACGGGCGGGAGGAACCCGAAGGAGGCTACGCCGAAGGGCGGAGTCTCCTTCGGGGAGGTAAAACTCGGCCCAGAACCCGTTTATACGGGTTCAAATGGGCTATTTTTTTGGCCGAGCCTAATGGCTCCAGGAATGCCCACGTTAAAAAGGCCTTGTGCCACATGACACCCTCGTGGGGGGGTGACTGAATATTGTCAGTCGTTCACCTCTGAACTGACTGTTCGGTTCAACTCTCTTCCTACGGGCGGGAGGAACCCGAAGGAGCTACGCCGAAGGGCGGAGTCTCCTTCGGGGAGGTAAAACCGGCCCAGAACCCGTTTATACGGGTTCAAATGGGCTATTTTTTTGGCCGAGCCTAATGGCTCAGGAATGCCCACGTTAAAAAAGGCCTTGTGCCACATGACACCCTCGTGGGGGGGTGACTGAATATTGTCAGTCGTTCACTTCTGAACTGACTGTTCGGTTAAACTCTCTTCCTACGGGCGGGAGGAACCCGAAGGAGGCTACGCCGAAGGGCGGAGTCTCCTTCGGGGAGGTAAAACCGGCCCTGAACCCGTTTATACGGGTTCAAATGGGCTATTTTTTGCCGAGCCTAATGGCTCCGGAATGCCCACGTTAAAAGGCCTTGTGCCACATGACACCCCCTCGTGGGGGGGTGACTGAATATCGTCAGTCGTTCACTTTCTGAACCGACTGTTCGGTTCAACTCTCTTCCTACGGGCGGGAGGAACCCGAAGGAGGCTACGCCGAAGGGCGGAGTCTCCTTCGGGGAGGTAAACCGGCCCTGAACCCGTTTATACGGGTTCAAATGGGCTATTTTTTGGCCGAGCCTAATGGCTCCAGGAATGCCCCACGTTAAAAAGGCCTTGTGCCACATGACACCCTCGTGGGGGGTGACTGAATATTGTCAGTCGTTCACTTTTGAACTGACTGTTCGGTTCAACTCTCTTCCTACGGGCGGGAGGAACCCGAAGGAGGCTACGCCGAAGGGCGGAGTCTCCTTCGGGGAGGTAAACCGGCCCTGAACCCGTTTATACGGGTTCAAATGGGCTATTTTTTGGCCGAGCCTAATGGCTCAGGAATGCCCACGTTAAAAAGGCCTTGTGCCACATGACACCCTCTGGGGGGGGACGACTGAATATTGTCAGTCGTTCACCTCTGAACTGACTGTTCGGTTAAACTCTCTTCCTACGGGCGGGAGGAACCCGAAGGAGGCTACGCCGAAGGGCGGAGTCTCCTTCAGGGGGGTGACTGAATATTGTCAGGAGTTCGAGTCGATCTCGGTCGACAGGCTGATCGGTTGAACCCGCCTTCATGCCCGAAGGAGGCTACGCCGGAGGGCGGATTCTCTTTCAGGAGGGTAAACCGACCCCTGAACCCGTTCATACGGGTTCAATGGGCATATTTTTGGCCGAGGCCACGGGCTCGGAGAGCCCACGTTAAACCGGCCTTGTGCCACATGATGCCCACGTGCGGGGTGACTAAATATAGTAGCTGTGTTCGAATTCTTTATTGGTTCTACCTTGGATGATCACCGTGGTACAAGGAACCGGACCATAAGAGAAACTCCTTTGAGTTATTCAGATAGTAAAATAACAGGTTAAAATCGTTTTGTGTCAGACCCATGTCTTCCCAAATGACCAATGGAGAGAGGAAAAAGATCATTCAAGCCTTCAGTAATGGTACCAACATTCATACTCTGGCTTCCATCTGTATTAGTACCAACTAATAATAACAAAACAAAATGTCCTTAGCAACTGGAAGAATTTAGAGAACGCTAAGGATATTTTGTTTTGTTATTATTTAGTTGTTACTTCGTTTAATAAATTTATTTCGTTTTGCCTTGAGAAAGTCCACATCGGACGAAACGCGTCGGCAACTATTATAGTTTTCCTATTGTCTTTTACATTTATAAATATTGTCTTTTTCTACACGTTAACTTTGAGAAAGTTTTTCATATATATATATATATATATATATATATATATATATATATATTGACAGCATATTTTCGTTTAAACATGTCTGATTAAACAATTTAGACATGTTGTGTTTGTTTATTTTCGATAAGCTTTCTTTTTTCATGATTAGAAACAGTAAGAAAGGTGCTGTCGTTATTTTTATTTTTCTCTTACAACATCAATCTTTAAAATTAGCGTTTGTGTCTTCTGCGCATGACCGGAATTGTTAACGGTTTAACCGCAAAAGCTAAAATTTATTTGGGACAAACACAATTATTTGTCATAGCCATCAAAACACTGATGATGAGATTGGAAAATATGGACAGAAAAAATGAATAAACATTACCACAGTACCTTTCTTGATGTCTTTAATCATACAAGAAAGCTTATATGTGATTACGAAAGGATTTTATTGAAAATAAGTAAACACAACATGTTTAAATTGTTTAATCAGATAATTTTAAATGAAAATATATATTTCTTAAATATTCAGGTAAACACACACATATGTATGTGTGTGTAGCATTTTTTAAATAAAAATTGTGGTTGAATTTATTTCTATGTGTGACTAGTGCATTAGTTAAGTTTTTTGCAAGGTCTCTTTTGTGTTCATAGATGTGTTTTTTTAAATTGCTTGTTTCTTCGCTATATTGTGCACAAAAGAAACCTCACAAAAACAACTTAACTAATGCACTAGTCATACAAAGAAAAAAATTCAACAACAATTTTAATTTTTAAATGCTAAACTCATAATAAAAACAGAAAATAACTCACTCAGAAGGAAAATCCCCGAGAGTGCCGCCATTGAATATTATCAATATATATATATATATATATATATATATATATATATATATATATATATATATATATATACTGCGACATTTGTGTTTTACTTACCAGTGACGAACTTAAGCACAATGGTATCTTCGGACGGGACAAAGTTCCGATCCAAAACAACATGAATCTCGAACGGCTGACCTCGTCGCAGAATAAGATTTGGCATCTCATATTGGCTGGTCTTGTGGGCATAACGATTGACGGTACGCTGAAGGTCCACCGATTTCGGGATTAACTGACCTTCTGTATATGTATAAAAAAGAAAAAGAAAAGAAAGAGAAAAGAATGTAAGTATTGTGTTCAAAAAAGCAAGTGAAAATGAACTATTTACATCACATATTTTACAAGTATAAGAATGCATACATTATATAATATCTCGATGCTTTTTCTTTTGGCTAGAAAAACTGATACTTTTGCGCATACATTTTCGACGAAAGTTTGCTTCAGCCAAAAAGGTTATAAATTACATTATGAGAATGGTTTTATGATAGATAGAACATAAAAATCATCATTTTTAATCTCATAGTATGGCCGAAGAAATAGATCACTTATGGCGTCACTCAGTCTAATTTCTGCGCGTTCTGGAATATTTTCCTCGTGTCTCTTCTTCTTCTTTCTTTCTTTCGTTCTTTCTTTCTTTCTTTCTTTCTTTCTTTCCTTCCTTCCTTTCTTCTCCTTCCTTCCTTTCTTCTCCTTCCTTCCTTCTTCTTCTTCTTCTTCTTTACGTTTGCATCGTACTTTGCAGAATTGTCTTGGGAAGCTCTGATGTTCTTAATACCATTATATTTTTTTCCGTTTGTTTCCTAATATCATGCCTGATTTTGTTCCTTATTATGTCTTTGATAATATGGTCTTTGGAGAAGATGACTGTAAGCTTTTGAAATCATCACGTATTTGTGTTTTGCATCATTTTTAATGCCCATTGTGAAGTCAATGTGGCTCAGAAAGTCAGAAAAAAAAGTTCAATCTTCACTATTCTGCTAGTGTAAGAAAATGGTTACAGGAGGTTAAAGAGATTTCGTGTCGCATGCTGTTTTTCGGGGGAAAAAAATCCCCTCTCCAATGGACGAGGTCAGCGAACATGTAAATCAGTTTCACTCCCAACCATTCACGGAGCAAGCGTCACCGAGTTGAACGAACGATGCAAATCAATTTCATTGCATGGCGAATTGGAAGCATGAGAAACAAAGAAAAGAGCGGAGAAACTGCTGTTTGATATCAATCCTACTATATGTCGATGAATGCAGTGTCGCAGTGTGTGATTAAATATGAGGAAAGTTATAGCTGATGGATGGCATACAACTCGAAACCCGATCAGTATCAACATGGGTGACCGTCTGGAGGGGGTATGATATCGAGAGACACAAAACCTCAAATGAACTTTGGCTAAACACATAGATTGTTTATTGAAAATCACACTAAAAGTTCAGCACTGTATGACAGTATGCATTATAATATAGCTAAATTGTTCAGTATAATATCCCGTCGAAGTAAATGAAGGTCCTATTTGATGGCATAATTATTTAGTAATAATGTGCTTGTGTCTTTCATCTTGTGCATTATACAATTTACAAAGCTTCTGTAAATAAATTATAAATTTCATAAGGCTGTGCTATAAATCTTTCAGTGATCATCGCAATGAAATTCAAACGTTACGATTTTGAACCTAAACTTAATGTTCTTTTGGAAAGACGTTCTTTTGTGTCTTTATTTATCATGTCAAATCTCAACTTTCAAACTGAGTGCAATACTACGATTGCAGAATCAACCTGCCCTAGTCATCATATTCTTGAAGGTATGTACGTGTATGTAATTTCTTAATTTAAACATCATCGTCAGACAATTTTAGCAGATAAAATACAGATTGTAAAAAATTGTCTCCCCATAATGCATAGCAAAAAAACAAAAAACAAAAACAAAAAAAAACACGAGGGAGAATATTTCTACATTTTTGCACAATGTAAACTTAATTAGACAAGGCTGAAGTGTTACATTAAAAGTTTTAGAGGAAGAAATGTATTAGCTGATATTAATAGAATTCGAGATAAAAATTACAGCTGCAGTGTACGTAACACCTCACGGACATATCAAGATTTAAACTTTTTTCACACACACAGGCATATATATATATATATATATATATATATATATATATATAGAGAGAGAGAGAGAGAGAGATTTATTAATCGGATTTACACGAAGCAAGGCAGTAAAGCCACTAAGACACAAGGAGTTACTGGGTGTGAAAGAATTAGAAAACAAAAACATTACAAAGGAGCGAGTACAGTAAATAACGATTGACATTGCATTTAAATTTTTGAAGACCAAAGTTAACCGGAAATCATGGAGCTGGGAGAGAGTTCCACAAGCGAGAAGTGTGAGAAAAAACTGTTAGCATAGAATTTACGGTTAAATCTAGCCAACTCATCTGCGAATCCTACCACTGCGCTTATATTCATAAAATTTATGTATCACAGAGCAAAATTCATCCGAACAATTACCATGAAAGTATTTATAGAAATGGCATAAGAAAGCAAATTTACGGCACTGGGAAAGTGACTGAAGCCGAGACACTAAATCAGGACCAATAATATTGTTGATTCTTCTTTGGATTTTATCAAGAATCTCGAAATATATAGCAGGAGCGCCAGTCCATGTGTGGCAACAATATTCTAAGCATGGACGAATCGTAGACTTATAGATACACCCTTGTGCAAATTAATTGAAACAACCGCTTTAGTTTCCTTTCTTTCACCATACGGTCAGTTTTAGACCCACTGGAGTGACAGGTTGTAATCGATTTCTATTTTTTTTTTTCCTCAGATTAGGTCATTTGCAGTGGTGTACAGTAATATGAATCTATTTTTTTTATGTTGAAATTTGTTTGGCTTTGAAAAATATTGCGTCATCCGTTATTGCAACAGATTTTATCATGCCCAGACACTATTGTCTCGACTGTCGATTAGTTGTCCTACGATCATTGTTTGCAATAGACGTTACTCCAAGGAAGCGTACAAAAATTGTAACGCTGCACGGACACACTGGCAAACCTTACCATTTGATATTTATTTGCTTATCTGTGTATGCATGCTATCGCACGCATATACAGTTGCTAATATGTCGACATTTAGTTTATATCCACACTTCTCTCTCTCTCTCTCTCTCTCACTTTATATATATATATATATATATATATATATATATATATATCTATATAAACACAAGGTGTGCTGAAAAGTTCTGGGCCTTGTCTTATTGCTCAGTACCTGACCAAATGACGAAACAAAAGAGTTTTGCGGAGAGGAGAAGGTCTTCTTGGTCGATCCAAGAGTCTTTTAATATTCCTCTTATTCAAGATGGTACTAATGTTGCTTCAAATCCTAGAAAGTCTGAGAACACCGAAAAAGTGTCTATAAAGTATCGGTAAGGGAGGGACGAAAGAGACAAGATTTGCTTTTCCTCGGATTCCATGCCAGCTGTTTTTACTTTCGCTGCTGCCAAATTGCAACACGAGTTCTGATAAGTTTTTTTCTTTGCTGGGATGGCTAATGATATTTCGGTTTCCAACCTTTCTGGAATATTCTTTATATACACAACTAGGTGGAAATATCTGACTTAAATTCCAGAGATACTTGGCTCATATTACGAGGTGTATGTTTCAAAATTAGAGCCACGTTCTCACACACTCCACACACACACGTATCTTTCTCTCTTTCTCACTGTTCATTTATATACATACATACATACATATATATATATATATATATATATATATATATATATATATATATATATATATATATATATATTTAACTGTATCACCTGATGCCAGGCAGTAAAGCTAGTAAGACACAAAAGGTTAGAGGGTATGGAAGAATTAGGAACAGAAACAATGGGCACGAAGAGAAATGAGTAATCAGGAGGGCTGTTGATAGCAATTGACGTTGTATTTAAATTTCTGCAGATTAAACTTGGCTGGAAAGCATGGAGACGGAACTAAATTCCACAAGCGAGAAAAGAAACTCTTAGCATAGAATTTACGGTTCCATCTAGCCAGCTCAACTGTATATTGATGAGATCTTGATGCCATTCTAGTACTGCAATTAAATTCATAAAGTCTAGGTACTATAGAGAAGACCTCATCCGAACAATTACCATGAAAGTATTTATAGAAAAGACACAGAGAAGAAACCTTGCAGCGATGGGGAAAGTGACTGAGACGCCATATCAGCACTAATAATATTGTTTATTCTTCTTTGGATTTTATCAAGGAGCTCAAGGTAAATATCAGGGATCATATATGTCAGCAATATTCTGACGAATGGTAGACTTATAGATATGTAAGATAGATTTTCGAGAGATATATTGTCTTGCACGACGCAGTGAACCAACTTTTTTAGTAGCTGGCCTAGCAATAGATTAAATATAGTCTTTCCACTTCATGTCAGCTGATGTTCATGTTAGCCCAAGAAGGCACAACGGTAATTTCTTTCAGGAGGTTAGCATCAACCATGCTGATGGAAGGCACAGTTGTATATATATATATATATATATATATATATATATATATATATATATATATATATATATATGTATGTATATATATGTGTGTGTGTGTGTGTGTATTTATATACATATATATATATAAATATATATATATATATGTGTATATATATGTATATATATATATATATATTTATATATATATGCATATATATATATATATATATATATATATATATATATATATGCAAGTATATATATGTATATATATATATATATATATATATATATATATATATATATGTATATATATGTATATATATATATATATGTATATATGCATATATATATATATATATATATATATATATATATATATATATATATATATATATATGTATGTATGTATGTAAGGCAGAGAGGGATATATATATATATATATATATATATATATATATATATATATATATATGTATATATTGCTTCCCTAAGAAAAGGTAAAATGAATCTTGCTTGCTGTATCGTTCTCCGTAGCCGAGCTGTGAAGCACACTGTATCAAACTGTGGTTTCCCCTACGAAGGCCGACACAAATTCGACCTTTGCCGAGGAACGCATTTTTCTTAGTAAAGAAACGGGCAGAAATTCTCAGATTTACGATAGACGTAATACACACTTTTTTAAATAAACAAAAATGAGCTATCTATTTCACATATAGTTTCAAATTCAATATATAAGCTTTGAAATATTATATTATTAGGTAACTCCAAAGAAAAGCAATACCTAAGGTTTAAAATGGATTTTTAAAAATGAAAAACTTTATTTAAGCCAATATTTTACTTTTAATTTCCAGCTAATCGATTAATTTTAATATTTATAATAAGCAAAATATTTTCCTGTATTTCAAAACGAATTTAAATTGATTGGATTAAATATTTATAATACATTCAGTCATGCTACTTTGCAGAGAGACTTCTCATTGCTATATATATGTATACAATACTATATAACAATATATCAGTCAGTTATGTGCCATGCGTGATAGACGCTTAAGCGGTCATGTATCTTTCGATACATGACTGATGAGGCAGATTTTTTTCCCCGCAGTAGGTTGCCATTTCTTTCTGCGGTAGACAAGTTGCCACCCAAGGCTATAGATCCCGGTCTGTTCTAATATTTACCCATAGCTGGTGGGGGGGAGAAGATTCATACCTTTCCTAATCCGAGCCGCTATCCATTACTCCACCGTAAATAATGAAGCTTAATTAATACAAAATTAATCTTCTGGAACATTGCTCTAATTATTGGACCAATTAGTCCATGTCACATTAACGGAAAAACACTAAATTACTACAATATTCAAAAATCTAGCGTCGCGTTACTGCACGCTCAAAAAAAAAAATTCTTAACTGTTAATAATAGCACACGTTAAAAAAAAATCTTTCGCCAAGTATCACATTATACTCGACTCTCCCGTCATATTCGACGTATGAGGGTCAAGCAGATTAATTCCTAGGAAACTGACAGCCCGACACCAGCACATAAGATTTGATTATTTGTGCAGAACAATCCACACTTTTTGAAGGGCCGAATACAGAGACTTGGTGCACTACGGTCCTCCGTTTTGAATTCAGAGTTGTCCTTCTCCTAGACCAGTTGCCAGTCTCTCCTACTATTTACCCATAGCTGCAGGAAGAAGAAGGGGAGGATTCACACCTTTCCCAAGGGTATTATCACATAAGTGAAGGTAATGGATTCAAGTAGAATTCGAACTCGGCTCTCCAATTCCTCAATCCAAGCCGTTATCCATTACGGCACCGTGCCTCCTTTATACTTATTCAAAAGTCAGTTTTCGTTGTTTTATAACACAAACTTATCAAACTATATTTTTGTTTATACTTAAGAATTTACGCCAGATACACCTTTTATATTTTGCATATATAACTCCAAGACTGTGAATTTCCGACAAGTAGAATGCAAATCCAATATCTTTTCCAATAATGTATGTAACTTCACAAATAATAAAGAAAAGGAATCTGTGGAGAGATCGCCTACGCCCTGAAGGGACGTAGCATAAACAAGAGTAACAACCAATTTCAGAATCTTTTTTCTGCTAATTTCAAACCAAAGAGAAGACAATGGGAAACTACTTCACTATCTTTATCAATATTCAAAGACAATAAGAAAATGGAAAGCCATGATCGCGTTTATCATGAAGGGACATAACAATACAAAAAAAAAAAAAAAAAAAGAAAGAATGGTCACAGCCAGTCTAGAAGAAGGAAAACGGAATTCGGAACCATAGAGCGACTTACGGCCATATCACGTTAAAACATCGGTTCCCTTATGATCACCGAATTTAAGCAATGTCGAGCCTTGATGTGTGATCGCTTGGCTTGGATGCACCGGTGGTGTAATGGATAATGACTCAGAATCGGAGAGCAAAGTTTCAATTCCAATTGGGTTCGTTATATTCACTTACGTGAAAACGTAAGAATCCACCACTTCTCCACGCTCCCAGTTACGGGTTAAATAGTAAGACTTGTATTTCTAAATCAGTGGTTCTTAACCAGGAGTAGTCACATCCTCTAAGGGTGCGATATCGGTTACTAGGGAGTGCGGGGATATTGAATCATTATAATTGGTTTATAAAGGAAACTCTATTGTAGTGTTTGGCGATCTGATATAAAAGTTTACATTGTAGAAATTTTACCAACTGCTATCATCTTAACGTAATTTTATTTTTTGTTAATATAAAAGTAATCTGGGGTTTTGTAATGCATTATTTTCTTGTGAGTTATGTGGATAAAGATGAAAGAAACACAATGGTTTTGTTATTTACACATAAGACCAATATTATTTTTACCAATTCTGGAGCGTGAGAACTGGTTGGCAGATTGAAAGGACTGTGAGAATTGGTTGATGGTATGAAAGGGGTGCGAGAACATGTTGGTATTTTGAAAAGGGTGCGAGAACGGGTTGGTGATTTGAAAGGGGTGCGAGAAATGGCTGATGATTTGAAAGGGTCAGAGAACTGGTTGTGGTCTTGAAAGGTGTGCGAGAACTGGTTGGTGATTTGAAAGGGTGCGAGAATGGGTTTGTGATCTGAAAGGGGTGTGAGAACTGGTTGGCGGTTTGAAAGGGGTGCGAGAAATGGTTGGTGATTTGAAAGGGTGCGAGAATGGGTTGGTGTTTTGAAAGGGGTTTGAACAAGCAAAATGTTTAAGAATCACTGTACTAAATCATTATCATCTCAAAAATTTCCCACTTAATAAAAAAAAAAATATTTTCTGGCTTTAAACAACCTGCAAATGGTTGATACGCCGTAGAAAACCAATCACTCGACCATTGTAACTTCCGGCCATCTTCAGGTATCTTTTATACATGATTTATAACCTATTTTTTTCGGAATTTTGAACCGAATACTTTATTCAGTCCACAGGGTAGATTGTTCTCATTTCATTTTCCATACTTGAAGAATATCTCACGCCCTTGTGTATCAAATACAAGTGCTAACGCGATTAATTTATTTCCTTTAATACCCACTTTCCATTTCTGCCCGGTGATAATTTGATACGTCAAGATTATTATGTTACAAATAATTTTCTTTGCGACACGAATATTTTCTTCCACGTTTATCAAACTTATATAAAATAAAACAAAATTCGCACTACCCGACCCAAGGCTTGTACTAACAAATGCCAGCAAACCATTCACAGAGAAGCGCACAGTCATAATACAAAATACAGAAATTCGCACGAAGATCAATACACTTCTCTTTATAGATTTCTAGATAAGGTGATTCATAAGCTGCCACTAAACGAAGACTGCATTCAGTTAGATGTTTGACAGCAATTTAATAATGGAATATCATTGTGCGACAGTAAAAATATACACACCATGTATAGAACCACACGCCCGAACACGCGCACTAGGTTTCGAAACCAACACACTAGGAGAAAAACACAGCACGACCTTTGCAAATGAGCACACACGAGCACGTAGGTGTGATAACTGGAACAAACGCAGAGAAGGATTCCGTTCTAAGATGTTCTAGTGAATTACTGATGCAGCCGTCAGGTAAGGAAAAAGACATATCAGTGCAGCGTCTCAAGGCGATGAGAAATTGGTTGTCTGCTTTGGATGAAATGGTGATATACGAGATTTGAATGTCTCGGAGTTAGCTCCTCCTTAATTCCCTAATTCTTCACTAGGGGTCGCTCTCCCTACACGATAAATACTGGGCGACCTCTTGCCTCGTTCTTTTTTTCATTTCTTCATTTTCAGCGAACACCTCTACAATCTGAGCTCTCGCAAAAGATAGCGTTTCCCATTTGGGGGAGACGCCATAAACATTATACACACATACACGTACGTACGAACATTCACCAAAGAACAAACATAAATGTTCACACACACACAAATGTTAATGTCTATGTCCATTGTAAAATTGTGTTGTTTCATACATATATTTGTCTATATATATATATATATATATATATATATATATATATATATATATATATATATATATATCGGTCTTCTTTGTTTTCTTTTTCGTCTTCGGTTGGACACAACTACAGTCCGCCATTTTCTTATAGTTGGACCTTCTAGCAGGAAATAAACGCACGTGTTTCTAATTCAACAACACGCAAACCCACACTGTCCCTCTACAAATGTACATGTTCGTGGACATGCGAAATGAGAATGCGAACTGTCATTACACCTGCTCCTCCCTAGATCCTCACTGTTGCACAATATGTGGACTTGTATGCAGGTCACTAGTGACACAAACATAAAAACTGGATGAGGTTGTCGGATCCTCATACGTTGAAATCGACAGGAGAGTCCATCGTGATAGATAGATAGATAGATAGATAGATAGATAGATAGATAGATAAGGAATAGACTGAGATAGATAGATAGATAGATAGATAGATAGATAGATAGATAGATAGATAGATAGATAGATAGATAGATAAGGAATAGACTGAGATAGATAGATAGATAGATAGATAGATAGATAGATAGATAAGGAATAGACTGAGATAGATAGATAGATAGATAGATAGATAGATAGATAGATAGATAGATAGATAGATATGTGGGTGCATGGCCGGGTGGTTAGAACGTTTGCTCTCCGACCGTGAGACCCAGCTTCCAATCTCACATTGGTTGAATCGTCCTGTTCACAATCCTCCCCCGTCTTTTCCACAGAAGTAGTGGTTTATCCCTGGTTCCCTGTTTAGGACTGGGTTTTCGGTTCCTTCTGAAATCTAATCTTTCACCCCCACTAGCCACTTGCGTCTTAGTGGCATTATCGCGTTGCTTGGAGTGAACCGATTAATAAAATCGCAAACAAAATACTAAAGCTTATTGAAGGTATTTAAATTTTTTAAAAAAGCAACCATAAATTAATAAAAAAATAACTGCAATCCATATAAAAGACGATGGATAGACAAAGAAAGATATATATATATATATATATATATATATATATATATAGATAGATAGATAGATAGATAGATAGATAGATATGGATTATATAATGGCATCAAGTACCGATATTCATAGTTTCATTGTCGTTCTTACGAAATACACCGACGAAATGTCCTAGATTCCGATTCCCGATTTGGAAGTGATACTTTTGTCCGAGGGCATTTGGCCTCGTCCATAATTTGAATTCGGCACGCCGAATGCACTTTCTGCTCCGATAAACGCCATATGCGCGTAGAGAGGGACGTACTGTATGAGTAAGATACCATATGCCTCACATTCCTTGTCTACTGGAGAGACAGGAAGCAGCAGTCTAGACTCTAAGCCTGAAGCACCGTTCAGAGCACGACTCCATAGTCTTACAAAACTATCGATAGACAAATAAATAGATAATCTATCTACCTATGTATGTATGTATGTATGTATGTATGTATGTATGTATGTATGTATCTATCTATCTATCTATCTATCTAGGTAGCTATCACACTTTATTTCTATCTATCTATCTATCTATCTATCTATCTATCTATCTATCTATCTATCTCACTTTGTTTATATATATATATATATATATATATATATATATATATATCACGCTGTTTCTATCTATCTATCTCACTTTGTTTATATCTATCTATCTATCTATCGATCTATTTAACTCACTCTGTTTCTATCTATCTATCTATCTCACTCTGTTTCTATCTATCTATCTATCTATCTATCTATCTATCTATCTATCTATCTATCTATCTCACTAGGTTCATATCTATCTATCTATCTATCTATCTATCTATCTATCTATCTCACTAGGTTCATATCTATCTATCTATCTATCTATCTATCTATCTATCTATCTATCTATCTGTGCATCTGTGTGTCCAATTAAAGTTAAATTTGATTCCGATGGAATAATATATATGTATTTTAATTTTTTTTTATCAGAATAATAGTTTTTTCTCTCACAAAAACAAAATCTTTATTAGCGCAATAAAAGCGATTTGCTATATATTTTGCTTTAAGTCTATCAATTTCAACTCAATTCTCCGATACAATTTAGTAAAAACAATTGTCTCCTATTTCTTCAAAAATTGCCTAAAATTAGAACCTTCTAATCGTTTAAGATTGGATATCGATTTTTGTCTGTGTTTTCCATATCGACAATAGAAATAGAGTTGGATGAAAAACACATCTCATTTTAGATATATTTACGAAAATTACACAAGAATATCTTGAATACTAAACAGTAAATTTATTAAATATAATCGCTATTAGCTTCAACTACGGCCTCCATACGATTTCGGAATCACCTGCATCGCTTTTGGACGGTCTCCTTAAGTAGGTGAAATGCTGCCAAAATCATTGACTTTAGTTCATCTTTGTGTTATAAGGAATTTTTGTTGGTCTCTCGCTTGACTGCGTCCCACACATAATAATCAATCAAGGGGGGTTGCAGTCTGGTGAGTTAGGTGGCCAGATGTAAGGGTTGTTGTGGTCGCAAAAATTATCTGGCAGCCATGACTGGGTTCTCCTGCTTGTATGGCATGGTGCAGAGACCTGTTGTCAGACATAAAGTCTTTCAGCAGCCACCCACTGGACAAAGAACGAAAGAAAGAAGACATATAAGGAAATAAAAAACGACAAAAAACTAAGAAAGAAAGAAAAAGAAAGAAAAATGTCCATCTAATGAGGAAATAAAGTTATAAAAACTGTAAATTTATCTCTTAGTCCTTCTGTGTACCTTTTTACGGGATGGTCAGTCTTATTGATAATAATTTTCTTTGTCCTGTCATCTTCGTCTAATAAAGTAATTAATTATCCCTCCGTGGCCTTTTCTCTGTCTGAGCCTCATATTTTGAAACTTAAAAACACATGGCACAGTGGATAAAGGCGTTGGTTAAATCCAGTGACAAGAACCAACGGGTTGTGAGTTCAATACCATGTTAAGGCAGTGGAAAACTTGGAGAGGGGAATTAACAGGAGATAACTGATAACTGACATCAATTAAACATGGCACGTGAAACTAGAACAGTCTACCCCAGTGAGCGAAATAAGGGGTTCAGTACGACATTCCAACCACCCGAAGAAGACCGGAGCGTACAACGGCTGAAACGTTGTGATAAATATGGCAACAAAGATGAGGACTATAGTCCGAACAATGTAAATAGTTTAATAAATATATTCTTACTAAACATGAAACAAAGGCTCTTGGATAATTTATGTAAGGATGGGCTTCTTTAGATAAACCATGAAATTGTAATTTTATCTCATTTTCTTCCTCACATACACAAACACACACATATATAAAATATGTATATGTAAAATTATGCGTCTGTAAAAATTCAGATATAACTAAAAAATATACTTGTCAAAAGACAATAAGGATAAACATAAGTAAAAATGTCGTTAGTTTTTCATAGTTTTTAAATTCAAGAACAGTCATAAATGACACTAATATTTACTCCTGCCTAAATAGTAAATCTGGTATCGCTGACAAAACTAACCTGGCCGTTGGTATCGAAAAGGACCTCCAATCGGTTGGTGACTGGAGCCGGAAATAGCTGGTTAATTTTAATGCCTCAAAAACAAAACTGCTCTCTATTACTCATCATAGAGAACCATCCTTGCCTCCGATTAGAATGTCTGATACTCAACTGCACGAGAGCACCTCTTTGCGACTGATCGGTCTCACACTGTCCGCTGGCCTGAGATGGAACAATTACATTGAATCAATAGCTTCATCTACCGCAAGGAAAGTTGGTTCTCTGTGTCGCGCCAGGAGGTTTTTCTCGCCTGAGTTCATCCTTCAAATCTATAAATCAACCATTCGTCCTTGCATAGAATATTGCTGCCATATATGGTCTGGTGCCCTCGCTGTTCGTCTTAAGGTCCTCGACAAAATCCAGAGACGGATATGCAATGTGATTGGCCTCGATCTGGCATCTCGTTTACAGTCACCTCTCTCATAGTCGACTCCCTCTGTCTTTTCTACAAATACTTTCACGGTAACTGCTACGACGAGCTATTTTCGCTGGTTCCCAAACTGCATGAATTTAAACGTGCCACTAGGTCGACATCTCAGTCCCACCCTTTCACTGTCTAAACTGTTAAATGTAGCCGTCTCTTCTCCTCCAATAGCTTCATGTCCCGCACTTCGTGGAACTCCCTTCCTCTTACTTGCTTCCCTGATAGCTATAATCTCCAACTATTCAAATGCAATGTCAATCGACATCTCCAAATGCCTTGATCTATTCCCTGTCCTTCTCTTCATCCTTTCCTCTATCACGCCTCTTTACTCTTGCTCCCAATCTCTGTAACCCCTTGCGTGCTAGTGGCACTCCCGCCTTGCACGGGGGGAAAAGCTTAAAAAATATGTACTTCAGGTTAACTGGAAGTAAAGGTAAATTATGGAGGATGCTAAGTGATGTAATTTAATATCTAACAAACGAAACTTAATAAATGTTTGTTGTGATTGCTGAATATAAATAATAATAAATTTGTTCAAACATCTCCTTTCATAAAAGAAATACTTCTTTCCAAAGCCAATACACATGGCGATAAAAAATTTTACAAAATCAAAAGAAAATGGTTAAATTCAAAACCTTCTATTATTTAAAACTTATAATACCTAAATTAATCTCAAACTAAAATAATATAAATGATAATTACATTATAAAAAAAAATCAAGAGAAGAAAGTTCCACAATCGAGAAGTGCGAGAGAAGAAACTGTTAGCATAGAACTTACGGTTATATCTAGCCATTTCAAATGTAAAATGATAAGACATTGCTGCCAATTAGGTTCTGCGCTGAAATTAATAAAGTTTATCTACCATCGGGGAAAGTAATATTTATTGTGTAAAATACAAAAATGTGGCACAAGGCCAAAAGGGGGATAAGGGAAGGCTGGTTTTCTTCTGTCTTATAATTAAACTTAGCTAGCAACAATCACTTACCCAAACATACCACAGTGTTCCTTACAAAAAAAAAAAAAAAAAAACCACATTCTTACTTACCATTCTGACGAAAATCACCACAGTCCCTCAGAGTCTCTATGAAGTCTTAACTACTCCCCATATATATAATTTGTCGGTGGGAGTGGGTAGCATAGAAGAAAATTCATCAGAAAAAGCACCATGGAAATATTTATAGAAAAGCCACATGGAAGCTTCGCTACGACGGTGGGAAAATGACTAAATCTGAGATGCCAGATCAACACTTAACATTGCAGATTATTCTTTGCATTTTATCAAAAATCTCTAAATGCATAACAGAAGCACCAACTAGACCAATTGTGGCAGTGATATTCAATATATATATATATATATGTATGTGTGTGTGTGTGTGTGTGTGTGTGTATGTGTGTGTGTATTTATAAAGGTAAAGGACAATAGGAAAACTGTATTATTAGCCGATGGATTTCATCCAATGTGGAGTTTTTCAAGGCAAAAACGAAATGAATTTATTGAAAACAAAGTAACTATTCACAACAAACAAAATGTCCTTAGGAACTACATGAATTTAGAAAACACTATTTATATTGTCAACTGAAAATTACGTCAAGTACTTTCAGGTGTAGAAATATTGTTTTTATTGTTGTGTTGGCGGGATTCAACCATTTTCTTTTGGTTTCTTTATACATTTGTGTATGTTGGCTTGGGAGAGTAGTAATTCTGTTAGGAAATGTGATATTGGGAAAAAAACCTGGGCGTAGATTAATATTTAGATAACATTCAATGGCGACACTCTCGAGGATTTTGTTTCTGAGTGAGTTATTTTGTCTTTTCATACAGGTTAACTCTGAGAAATTTTTCATATATACATATGTGTGTGTGTGTGTGTGTGTGTGTGCGCGCGTGTGTGTGCATGTGTCATGAACAATAAAAAATGTTAAAAATTAAAATTTCAGACACACTGGGTTGTATATTAATATTCTTGTTTTATTTTTTAATTCAGGTTCATCGGCATCAGGAGAAGATATTCCTACTTGTTAGTAGCTGTGAACTACAGGAGTGAATGACTGCCTCTAAAGAAGGTGAACTTTGCCTGTAGTTTTCATTTGTTTTTTTTATCGCTAAGTTTTGGTCAGCCCTTGTATTGGTCAAAGTCCTTTTCAATTTATATATATATATATATATATATATATATATATATATATTTCAACTTTTATGTTTATTAGATAACAGTATTTGAGTAGACTAACCTACCTGAAGAAGAAAATGTTCCGTCTAGCAGGATTCGAAACTGTGTTCCCCGCTGCAGGAGGAACTACATGCTCTGGCTGCTCGGCTTCAAAGAACTTCACAATCAAGCAAGGTCCTATTTTGCCTTTAAAACACATTCATTTGTTAAGATTTTTCCCGAAAACCCATACCTGCTCATTTTTCGCACCCGAAACGTAAACAAAGCAATTTCTAAAAGATTAACGGATTTTCTTTTTAATCAAACATATTTTATTTTACGGCAAGCGTTTATTTTTAATGGATACTTTGACTAGACTCTTAGTATTTATTTATTTTAAACACTCACATATGAATATGTGCATACACCAGCATACAGACTTGCAGATGCAAACGCACAGATGCATATCTCTATACATAATGGAATAATTATATACATATATTGAGGCAATTGATTTTCTATTTGGTTGAAGCTAACATCCGCCAAGCGAATATATTACGGTTGCTTCAGTCGCTTTGTTAGACATTGTTACGAACTCTTATGTCATTTCTTAGCGTGTTAAGTGGCTATTTGATAGTTTACCTCATTTCACCATTTGTTGTCTCACCAACCGTCTCAGGTGTCTTTCAAACCGTTGCTATTAGCAACAGTTCATGGTACATTGGACAGAGCCCAGTACTTAGCATTTTATTCACTAGCATGTCATTGTTCTCTCAACATCACTTTCTTTTACATCTTTGTCTTTTTGCAACATTTCTATTCTATTCTATCCTTTTCTTTTCTTTCTTAATTTATTCAAAAATTTTCATTCTTTATTTCATTTTCCACATTCTTTCTGTTTTTCTTTATTTATTTATTCTTAGAATATTTCTTTATTTAAAATTTATTTATATTTAAAATATTTCTTTATTTCCTTATCCATATTTTTTTCTTTCTTAATCTATTCTCAAATTTTCATTCTTTATTCCCGTATCCACATTTTTTCATTCTTTCGCAATTTATTCTCAAATTTTCTTTTTCTTATTCTCATTCTTTCTTTCTTTATGTCTTTCTTTCTTCTGAAATTTCCTTTCTTTATTTTCTTATTCATATTCTTTCTTTCTTGCTTTCTTTCTTTCTTAAATTTTCTTTCTTTCTTTCTTCATCCTCTTTCTTTCTTTCTTAATTTATTTTCAACTTTCCTTTCTTTATTTTTGGTATCCTCATTCTTTCTTTCTTTCGCAATTTATTCTCAAATTCTCTTTATTTCCTTATTCTCATTCTTTCTTTCTTTCTTTCTTAATTTATTCATAAACTTTCTTTCCTAATGCTCATTCTTTCTTTTTTCTTAATCTATTTCCAATTTCTCTTTCTTTATTTCCTTTTGACTTTTCGTTCTTTCTTTCTTTCGTTCCGTTTTAATTTTTTTTTCTTTATTTCGTTATATTATTTGTTTCTTTTTCAATTAATTTCCAATTTTTATATCTTTATTTTCTCATTAGACTTTCTTTCTTCTTTTCTTTCTTTCTTTCTTTCTTTCTTTCTTTCTTTCTTTCTTAGTTTTTCTACTCGTTTTTATTTCCTCATCCGTCTTTTCTTTCTTTCTTTCTTTCTTTCTTTCTTTCTTTCTTTCTTTCTTTCTTTCTTAGTTTTCTACTGTTTTTATTTCCTCATCCGTCTTTTCTTTCTTTCTTTCTTTTTTTCTTTCTTTCTTTTTTTTATTTCTTTCTTTCTTTCTTTCTTTCTTTCTTTCTTAGTTTTTCTACTCGTTTTTATTTCCTCATCCGTCTTTTCTTTCTTTCTTTCTTTCTTTCTTTCTTTCTTTCTTTCTTTCTTAGTTTTTCTACTCGTTTTTATTTCCTCATCCGTCTTTTCTTTCTTTCTTTCTTTCTTTCTTTCTTTCTTTCTTTCTTTCTTTCTTTCTTTCTTTATTAGCGCCTACTTTGTTTTCTCCCATCTGATCTTACTTTCTTTTTCTTTCTCTTTGTTTATTTCAGTTTGAATTTGTTCCTTGATTTTCTTTCTTTTATATCTTATTCTCGATCATTCTTCTCCTTTTCTTCCACAGTGGAATATTCTGTTTTCCTTTTCTTCCTTCTTTTGCCACTGCGTCATCAACAAGAAGAAAATGTGAAGGTCATATGAGTAATGGCGGTTTTCAATGACTGTCTATACTTACACAGTCAAAATCCTCAACACAGTTGTTCAGAGATGAAGAAGCAACATGCTTTAGTATTTCGAGCCCAATGTCGAAAGCCAAACGTCCTTGTCAAGATGATACAATCTATTCTTTACGTCTGAAGTGAGACAACCACAGATAAAAGTGATTTTATTATCCTAACGGTCAAAGTTGAAACTAATGACCAACGGGTCAGCAATTCTGCCTTTTTCTTATTCTGGTAATGTTCTTTATAAATAACTTTTTAAATTGACTAGACTGTGAAGCACTCGTGCAAAATGCTTTTAAAATAAATACGGTTAATACAGGCAATTATATAATTATATATAATTATAATTATATAATTATATATGATTATAATATCAACTCATAATCTAATGTCGAAATAATTCTTACAGGACAAAAGTCATAGTGAATGCATTAATACACAAGATGTGTACTGGAGTGTAATAGGTAATTAATTTGGTTTACACTAGAGTCAAACAGGTCGATATGTGTCCTGTTTACACGGGAGTGAAAAGAAATGTTCAATTTACACTAGTGTCAAACGATCGAACCGGTTTATAATAGAGTCAAAACGTAGATATAGGTCACGTTTACACTAGAGTGCGAAAAGTTAATATAGGGCCAGATACAAAAGGTAGAATTGCTTTCGGTTTACATCCGAGTTTACATCCGGTTTACACTGGAGTAAAAACAAATGAATATATATATTTTACCCGTATCAATTGTGGGCTTCAGAATGCACACCTCTGAATCATTTACTGTGTAAGATAGATAGATAGATAGATAGATAGATAGATATGAACAGACTGAGATAGATAGATAGATAGATAGATAGATAGATAGATAGATAGATATGAACAGACTGAGATAGATAGATAGATAGATAGATAGATAGATAGATAGATAGATGCAATTATATAATTAAACAGGCTGAGATAAATAGATAGATAGACAGACAGACAGACAGACAGATAGATATGAACGGAATGAAATTAGATAGAAGGAAATACACACACACACACACACACACACACACACACATATATATATATATATATATATATATATATATATATATAGACAAAGAAAGAAACATAGATAGATCCGAAGTGGATGTTGAAATGTTATCGTTCAAAGAATGCTAGTTGAAGAAACGTTTCCTTCGATTTTAAGAAGTGGGTCGAACCAAGTATGTTTCAACACTCACTGGCGATGAATAATTAGATATTTGCAGAGTATTTAATGCCAGAAAATATTTTTAGATTGCAAGAAATTTTTATTTTTGGTGATAATAATGATTTACTGATACAAGTCTTACTAATTAACTCAGAGATTGGAGGAGGGAAAAGGTGGATTTATACGTTTGCCGAAGGTATTTGCGCGTGGGTGTATATAACGAACTCAACTGGAATTTGAACTCGGTTCTCCGTGTAACAATTCAGAGTCATTATCCATTACACTACCCGCACATCCGAGCTTACAACTTCTGGTATTCCCAAGCGGTCGCCCATCTAGATACTGATCAGGCTCGACTTTGCTTAACTTCGGTGATCGTACAGAAACTGGTGTTTCTACGCCATGTGGCCGTAAGCCAGCCAGCCAGATAGATAGATAGATAGATAGATAGATATGAGCATCCTATGAGAGGCGTTTTGTTATTGGTTGCGATAGCAATAAAACTGTATACGTATTTTGTATGCGTGTGTGTGTGCGTGCACACGCGTATGTGTGCGCGTGCGTGTGAGTGAGTGAGTGTGTAATAGTGCGGACGGTGACAGTTGAACTACATTTTCTATTCTTTTCACATTACTTACTTTGTATTTCTTATTTATTTATCTAGTTTTTTTTTTTTTTTTTTTTTTTTTTTACTGGATACCCCCTACTACCCTGTAAACAGTTTCAGTCTGCTGTTATCTTCACAAAAGAAATCTTGGCTCAGTTTTGGGTTTTAACCACACCCACCCAGATTCCAGAAATCTTTTATGTTTTGTTTGTTTTGTTTTTTTAATTTTTTTTATTTATATATTTATTTATTTATTTATTTTTCCCATGAAAAAGTTCTACCGATTCAGACTAAACATTTTTTTAAAATCATTTCACCCCAAGCAAGGTGATAATGCCATTAAGACGTTAGTGGCGACTGAGAGTAAAAAAAAAAAAAAAAAAAAAAAAAGAGTCGACTTTATCGAGGAAAAAAGACACAGGTTTCAAGAAGACAGAATATGGCGATTGACATTGCATTTACATTTTATGTCAGGGAAATAAGAAATCGAAAAAGATTTTCACGGGCGAGAAGTGCGATAAAATAAACTATTAGTTCAACAGTAAAACGATGAGACCTAAATGCCAACCAAGTACTGCGCTTAAATTCGTGAGGTCGAGGTACAAAGGAGATTAGCTCATTAGAACAATTACTATGAAAATATTCATAGAAAAGACAGAGGGAAGCCACGACACGGCGGTGGGAAAGTGACTGAAGTCGAGATGCCAGGTCAGGATCTATTATATTACAGACTCTTAATTTTGTCGCGAATCTCTTTACAGGGGCAATATTCAATGCACGGACGAATGGTAGATTTATAAATATGCCAAATGGATTCTGGCACGAAGCAGTGAACCAACTTCCCTAGTAGCAGACCTAGCAATCGAATCAATATACTCTTCACACTTCAGGTCAGTGGAAAACTTGAGAACAAGAAGACGCAATGAATTGCTGTACTGGTGGTTAACATCAGCCATACTCGCGGAACGCAAAAATGGTTCTCTATGGTGACTAAATGAGAGTAATTTCATTTTGGAAGCGTTAAAATTTCTAAATCATTTCTTGTCTGAGTTAACAACTGATTGGAGGTCATTTTCGTGAGCAGTTGCCAGATTTACTTTCTCAGACTTACTAAATAGTGCACAAATATAGCTACCTAAAAAAAAAAGGAAATAAGAAAAAGAAATAAGAAAGAAACAAAAAACGCGATACCTAAAAGTTGAAAATGCATTTAAAAAATGAAAAATATTTCTTGACACTTTAAGTTTAATTTTAATTCCAAGCTAATAGATTAAATTTAATATTCCTAAGAAGCAAAATACTTTAGTATATTTCAAACCGGATTTAAACCTATTGGAATATTTTTCTATTTCTCTATAAAATCTATATTGACAGATCTGTCAACACAATATAATCTCTTTATTCAAAAAACGTTTTTCGAAATTAATTATACTTTTCTGAAAAGTTATTTGAGAAAAATGAGCTGATTTAAAATTTAATTAATCTGAATTGAAACGAGTATTACTTTTAGTTTAAATATCGATTAAATGCGTAATCTTTGAAGACGAAGTGAGTGTTTTGTGATGTATTTATTGAATTATTGACAGCCTGATGTTTGGTAAATTTAACTAAGGGTGGCAATAACTAGAATTTTTTAATTACCCAGTAATCTTAAAAGTTTAAAATATTTTAAGAATTCAAATATTTTATTGAATGTCCGTTACATTGGCTTTATAGCCTTACTTAAGAAGACGCTTGTTGGGAAAATGTTAGTAAATTTCGATCGCATATAAAATTTACATCTAGTTTCCCCAAACGTAGTGAATTTTTAGACACTCGAGTAAAGTTCTCAGTCGTCTAAAGACTGAATTATTTTACAAGCTTACCTCATCACACATTTACCAACACCGCCGTTTTGATCATCCTTATCATATGATAGAATCAAACCCGAAGTGTCAATTTTGACGCATAAGGCGAATTTGCACGGATATAAAAGATTATTGAAAGCATGTTAATGATTTCATTCGGCTATCAAGAATCACGAATGAATTAAATTGCCAATGAAATCGCTAAAAATGAAGATTGCCATAATTTTATACCAGGTCAAAACATCGAAAAACATAAAAAAAAATTCTGACAGAATGCCATTAGTCATCAACTGGCACCGAAATCGAATTTTGAAAATACTACACGACAACTATAAACACATTGCACAAAAATATCGGCATTTTAAAGAGATTTTTCCTAACCCGCCTTTTAAAAAGAAATAAAAACATCACATAAATTTTAACAAATGTAAGCGACCACACTCAAAACAACATTCGACTTTCGGATAGTTGTACTCCCGAAAACACTTATAGAAGAGGAAAACCCTGTTCATTGGGCAACATGAGTCAAATCAGTTCTGTCTCAATTTCAATGAGAAACATCACAATTTCTACAGAAAGTGGCAATTGTACTGATTCCTATTTAATATACGCCGCCCAATGTACCTATGACGTGATTTATGTGGGTTGCCCAACGGAAAAATTAAATAAAAGATTCAATGGCCACAGCTATGATGTCAGACACAACAATGTGATATCAACTGAGCTTGTGAAACATTTGTGAAACAAACGACTGTAATTTCAACAAGTATCTTAAGGTGAACATTCTGAAAAAATATTCGGAATCTACAGACTTTTCGATCCATAAAACGCATGAGGATGGTTACATATGGTAAATACTAACTTCCCGGCCCTGAAGAATGAACTGAATGACAGGAAAGTTCCATCAGATTTATACTAAGCTAGGGAACTCCATGAGGTTGCTAAAAGAAGAGCATAGGATGATGAAAAAGACGCCAGATTCGACGAAAACAAAATGTTATAATTAAGGTGCTCGGCTTCTCCCTATGAGCCAAGTCGAGATTACCAACTTCGCCAGTTTGCTTTGGCTTGCGCTTTTCATCTCAACAGAGTCGGATTTTTTAATTTTCTAATGCCCATAATTTTTTTTTATCCTTTCCCCTCCCTTAGAGAGAGAGAGAGAGAAAGAGAGAGAGAGAGAGAGAGAGAGAAAGAGAGAGAGAGAGAGAGAGAGATTCTTGATTTTTTTCGGAAGACATAATGCGGCGGGTGAACAGGTCTTACTAACATCTTTCTTTTTTAAGTTTGTTCTTAGGGTAATCACCCCTGCTTCACTAATTCATAACATTGATAGAATTTTCATACAATTGTACATATGGAAATTTTAAGTCATGGGGTGTTTTTCAGTAGAGGCCCTGTGTGTGTGAGGTATTTTGCTGTATTTAGGAGCGTTTGAGCAAATTGTAACGAATGAATGGGTCGTGAATCTGGTTAGCTAGGTATAGGATAGTTAGTGTCGACCAGCCTCAACTCATCTCCCTCCTTTTTTTCGGCCTTGTGCCACAATTACTGTATTCAATCAGTATTAAATCGTAGACAAGCAACACCTTGCCATGAAACACCTTGTCCTCCCAGTTTTTTCGTAATTTCTTTTGGACAAATTGTTTTGCTTTCTGTTTTACTCATTTGGCGTAGATGGTATTCGCTTCGATTTTTTTATTGGTAGGATTTCAGGTATAAGAAGCTGTTTCTTGAGGAGTGCCGCTTTTTTTTTTTTTTTGTTTTTTTTTTTTTGATGGAGTGGATTTGGTGTTTTACTATTTTTAGGAGAGGGTCATTGAATTTTGTGAGGTATGCTTCTAATCTGATTATTATTATTATTATTATTATTATTATTATTTAAATCTCATTTTTTTATAATTATTATTATTGTGTGTGGTATCATCCTGACGAAGATTAATTTTATGTGCGTAATTACCAAATCCCCACCTGGGTTTGTAAGTAAAAAAAAGGGCAGTGTAGGTGAGTTATCTATTCCCATTTGAGATGTTTCGTTTCGATGGAGACGTTTCTGCGGATGACATGTGCATTTCCGTACATAGTAATTCTTTGTAGCTCTGAGATACTGATGGGTCCAGCAATTTTTGGTACCTTTCATTATTATACTCAACAGCCGTATCACAACAGAGATAATCGTAGTTTTAAGTTTTCACATTTTTCTTACTTCGATTTGCAGGTCGTTATAATTTGACAGTTTTTAAAATTCATTTTTTAGAAACATTGGAATCCTTTGAGCAAGTCATATCAATTGGTCAATAGGTTCCTTTTTTGAAATCTTTTATAGCTATCACTGGTCGATTTGCATCAATTTTACTGTCTCTGAGGATTGTAAACAACTAATATTTACATATTCCTGATCCAAGTAAATGCTTACCTTAGAGACACATATATTATTATTATTATTATTTTCTTTGATTTCTGGCGTTTACACATTTCTTTCCGGGTCCCGCTCAGGGACCTAAGGTTAGAAATGGCGTCATGACACTTTCCACTGACAAAAAAAAAAAAAAAAAAAGAATTAAATTACATAGATAAAGCCCTTCGTAAGGTGTGGGCTGTACTTGTCAGAACAATTTTTTGTATCTCCTTGAGGCGTGGACTTCCAGGAATCCCTTCAATTAGTCTACTGCAATCTTTTCCAACCAGTCCTAAGGCTTCAACTACAACAGGGATTGTTGATGTTCCCATATGCCACATTTTTTAGATTTCTATTTCAAGGTCCTTGTACTTTGACAACTTTTTGAATATCTTTAAAGATACATTGCAGTCAGCAGGGACTGCCATATCAATAAGGAGGCACCGTTTTTGTTTGTGGTGTTTAATAACAATATCTGGCCGGTTGGCCTTGATTGTTCTGTCAGTGTGTATTGTGTAGTCCCATAGAATTGTAACAGGTCCTATCTCCGTAACCGAGTCTGGG